GTTATTTTGTTCATTGTAAATCTCTGAATTTTCTGCTGTTTGTGAACATGTGTTTGAGTTTTGTGGTAGAGAGAGCAAGTGTCTGTATGATTACATGCTTTTAATTTTAAATTATGGGTAAAACTGTAGATCAATTGGAATAATCAGGGAACGTGTTACAGAAGAGTAGTAGCCTGTGAGCCAAAGGCCTTCACAAGAACCAGTTAAAAAGGGTTGTTTAGCCAAAATAGAGGAAAAACTGAATATTTGTGGCCAGCCCTTACATAACAATGGCACATGGAAACCAGCTGGAACATCCTTGCAAGGCATGAAGGAACATCCAATGAATGCAAAATGGCATCTGAAACTGGAAGAAAACTTATTTATATAACCCTGTGAAAGTGAAAACTAAAGAGGGAGAAGGCAGCAAATGATACAGAACAGAATTTACCCATTTAGTAAAAACATGGTTGCAGTGTAGGCCCCGTGTGACTTCAGCAGAGGGGGCACCCATACAGCTGCACACTGTGACCCTAGGCAAGAGGCAGCAGCAGTGGCTGGACACCAGAGACACGTCATGACAGAGCACAGCTGGTTTGGATAACACACAGATTTTGCAAAGACACAGTATCTCTGGCTGCAGCCAGGCTTTAGGAACAAATTCTCTCTCATTCACATAACTCCATCTGCATTTCCTGGGGCTCACCACCAGGCCTGGGGTCACAATCCCACCAGGACCCCAGAGCTCTCAGCAAAACTGGCCCCAGGTTCCCTGTATAAAAACCTGCAAATCAATGAACAAAACCATGGTGTAGTCCAGAGATATATTTTAGCAAGAGGGAAGTACCTTTGTCCCTAACCTCATAATGTTCTCTTAGTGAAGTAAACAGTTTTGGGACAAAACCTTAACAGCATCCTATTTTATTTTTTTTAATTAAAAAAGAAACAAAAAAAATCAAGCTCTTATTGCAGAATGTGTTCCAGAAGGCAGGCCAAGCCCACTGAGAGCACTAAGGCTGCACATCATTAGGCCAAAATAACTACTAGGATGTAGATAAACATCACATGTGAAAAAATAAAGAGCTCCAACAGATAAGCACAGCAGGCTATCACTGTTAGACCCAATTTGAGATGTATTGCTGGGTTAATTCATACTGCAAAGTCTGAGGGAGCAAAGGAACAGAGAGCAGAAGGGCTTCAGCCAAAAGGCAATGTAAGACAAGGTGAGACAGACTAAATAGTGAAAACCAGTGAAGGTATAGCAAAAACAGAGTAAAAAATAAGATAACTGAAATAGGTTAAGGCAGAAGTTAATAAATTTTCCTTGCTTTATTATATATTACTAGTTTTGCATCACTATTTCTCTCTGAAGCAGTGAACATTAGAAAAAAAATATTATTAAACTGAAAGTAACATTGCCATGACAGAGGATCTAAAGAGCTGGAATCTTGAATAATCATCAGGTCTGCAATTAATAGTCATGTTACCTGTCAGGTGACAGGGTTGCAAAGGCCATGCCCTCAGCTCCTGCAGGTGGAAGGGAGCAGCATTGCTGCCTGCCATAGCTCCAGCACTGCCTGGGAAGAGCCCAACATCCTCAGACGTCCTGCTGCTGGCCAAGTCAGAGGTGGTTGAAACTTTTTCCACAAGCCATTTGTATACTGACATGAATTCAACTGTTTTGTGGATATGTATGAACTAACATTTTTGCAAAAGTGCAATACTTAAAATAGTCCATTTTAACTTCAGAATTTTTACTTTGAAATCCGAATAGTGTGATTTTCCCTTTCTATAAAAAGGCCAAACCCATTATTCTTCTGGGAGAACAGCAAAGGACAAGATGGGAGAGTCATCCAAGTATTCCTTCAAAGGAAATGAAAACTGAAACTTCAGGAGTCTTACATTAGAACTTTTTGTAGCCAGCCCATGACAAGCCTATGTAAAAACAGTAAAAAAGGATGGATTATTGAGGATCAGGAAGAAACAAACGGATGCCTTCCTGTGCATTCAGATAACTCTGCTTCTTAGATTTGCTAAGATATTAACCTATTAAAACGTTTTCCCCAAGATTAATAATTTCAGATGTCAAACAAGTTCACATCAGTTTTAACTGTTCTTTTTAATAGGAGCAGAAGACATCGCCCTTTTTTGTGTTACTGGCCCAGCTCCTGAAGTAGTTGTACCTTGAAATGATTCATCATCTAAAAGATACCATAGAGAAGCATAAAGGTGGTGGAAACACTTTTCTATTATTCCAAAAATTATTAATAGAACACGAGTCAGTACATTAGACAATTGACTGGCTTTGCTTGTATGCATGCAGGAATAAATGGAAACATCCCTATTTCCTATCCCAAGGGGCAATTATTTCAGAGTCTGGTTTTGTGTATTAATAAAAAGCAAGATTCCATCATCTGGTAGCTAAAATATCTTACTATATACACACTGTATAAGCAGTCCAACAGTAGAAACATAAGAAAAACCCTGAACTCTTGCATCACATTCTCTAAACAAGCTCTTACCATATCTAGCTTTTTTTTCTGTATATATATAATCAATAGAATATATGATCAAATGGTAAATTGTATATTTTTAGAAGTTCTGAGTCATCACATATCTGGTTATGTTTGTGTCTACAGATAATCCAAAACTTTCATGTCTCAAATGCTGCAATGAGTGTAACAAATGAAAAAACTTGAATGTCACACCTCTGAAGGAGACTGGATTGCAACTCAAAAACCAGTTTTCTCCCCACTCACCACCGACAGTCATTCCTTTCTTTGGCCTTTTCTTTCTTCTCCCTGCACACCTTCAGTAGTTTGTTTTAACCCTTCAGAGAAAAAAATAATGAAAACATAAAAGGAACTTATAAACAAAATATAAAAAATTGTAAATATTGCCTCTTCTCCATGTCTGTGAATGAAACACACACTGCCATGCTGTGAGCCGAAGTCTTACTGCCATCTCTGCCCAGTGTCCCCATCCATAGTTCACCCCAGCCACATGCCTCGCAGATCAATCAGGTGCAGAAATGGCAAGGATAGAATAAAGCCCAGGTTTGTGTTGTTCCTTTTTCAGGAAGCACTAAAAAAATATTTATTTTCAGAAAGGTTTGTTTGGCTGTTTTTCATCTGAGACACCAAATGCCACTGAAAGCCTCAGATCCTGTCCCACCACTACCACACAGATTACTTTGGGGACTCTGTGCAAAATGCTGTAAACTTCCTCTAATCAGCAAAATTGGGCTGAAACCAGACAGGAGACCTAACGAATTTCACATGCACATTTTGCAAGTATTTGTCCAAGTCAGATCCACTCTAAGACAAAGCTGGTAGGATGGTTATTACTTAGAGGAAGCCTCAGTTTGTGTTTAAGTTGCCTATTAAATAGGCAACTAGCACCACAATGACATCTTGGGAAGAAAAAAAATAAAGATTCTTGGAGATACATAATGTGTTTAATTGAAACCATAAGTTTTACTGGCAAACAGCTTCATATTTCTGTTCTGTTAATCTGAACAAAGTGCTGCAATTGTGACTCAATACATAATGTCCTCTAGTGCTACTCGCCCCACATTCCCAAAGTAGAGAAAGAAAACAAAACTGTTTTCAGTTAACAAAACATTCCATGCTTCTATCCAGAATACTTTTATTATATGGTTATCATACACATCAGAATTATATTTGGAACATTTACAAATATGTAAAGATAGTTCAGAACCTCCATTATTCACATACACTCACACACTCATTTTGCTTGTCTAGTCAGTTATCAGGTGAATGATGCACAAAATTATTGCTTTGTGAACATACACCTCAGATTAGATATAATCTTCAGTGGCAAGAATTGAGATATTAAAAAAGTCTTAAATACCCTGTATAACATACCTGTGCATAAACCTAAAGATATGTTTAGCTTACCCATTACCTTTGTAATACTTACCAAAATTAAAATTTGAAACCCATTTATATATAAAAAAAAAAGTATTAAAAAGTTCACCATTATTTACAAATCCGATTAAATTACACATAAATAAATATTTACATTCAACACACTGCTTCCCTTAATACACATAAAGCCTCCCTGGAAATATTTTTTGGCCTTAATAGGCAAAAAAAAAAAAAAAAAAAAAGTTATGTGCCTATTCTTTCAAGTTTCCCTCCCAATTTAAAAACAAGACAATATAAATATGTGAATAAAGCTGCAATATCCTCAGACACAAAAAAAATGAATTTCCTAAAAGCTTTTTCATTGAACTACTCCTTGTAAAAAAAAAAAAACCGAGATAATATTCACTGCAGCAAACCATCACTGCAGGTTTTAAAAGCCTGAATATTTCCATAAAAATAAGCATGTCAAATGCCATCAGATAGCATTTAAGTCTATCAGGATCTTAGTACTCTCCTATGATAATCTGAAAATAAAGGAAAAAAAAAAACAAACAACAAAACAGAACAGAAAAAAGCAACCCACAGAATAATCTTCTATTTTTAGGTGTTTATAAACAAATGTAACGTACATAAATCTATATACCATTGTTTAACACTGCTTTATTGTTACGGTTGCATTTAGAGAGAATAAAACCCCGAAATTGTGTCAGATAACAAATAGGCTTCCATCTAAAATCTGTATCTTAAAACTATACACGAAGAGGGTCTAGCTACTTAGATGTGGAAAGGAAATCTAAATATATCTCTGTATATTTTCATCAAAACCCCTTTATAGCACCACTGTTACAGCAAAGGATTTCAATACACTTGTACCAAGTACTTATCTTCAGGTAATTGCTTCCACAGATAAGGGATACTGCAGCTTTTAGAAAGACTTGTCTGATGGATCCAGGGGAGTGAAGATCCTGAATGATTTTTTACCTCCTTTCTTTAAAAAAAATAAAAAACAAGGGAATAAAAAAAAATAAAAATAAAATAAAAATAAGAGAACCCGAATCTCTACATTCCCCCCCAAGAAGATCCCAGTTTGTGTTTAGGAGGGAAGAGTTAAAAGTCTTGATTTCTCTCCTTTTACTTCCTGTGCTTATCCATTTTATCAATGGTTTTGTTGGTTTCTGCAGGACTCTGGTCGCCAGCGTTCATGTATGTTTTGTCTGCTATTTTTAATGCTTCATTTAGGTAGTTCTGGACGGATGTCATGGCAGCACAGATGGCAGCACTCCCAAAGCCATGTGTGATCAGGCTAAAATGAGTCAAACAGCCCTGGATGCCAGGGTCCAAGATGGGACTAGGTCTTGTGTTTCCAAGAGGAGTTCTGTCCTGAGTGAGGAGGTCTGTGAATTCCTTACAAATCTGCCTGCAAGACACAAAGTGATCACACTTTACAACATACTGGGAATTTATGCAAAATCAAAAAAATAACAGAGAAAGTCTGCATCAACTGTTTGGCAGTTCTGCAGGAATCCATCAGCAGCAATGCCATTGACTAAAGCCTACTTATTAGCACCAGATTCTGATTAACCTTCTGTTTTATCTGTGTCACAAACACACATTCACGCCCTGCAAAATAATCTCTCCACCTTTGCTGTCTGTCTGGCTTCAAATCATTTGCTCTAGATTTGAAGGAGGGAGTGGGAATTAGGGCTAATTTCTATGAGAACTTCCACAGCTGCAGTTAAGTCATTTAGAAAGACTAAAGCAGCTGAATAGGAGATTCAATTTAGTTGTGCCTATTATGGGTATGTGCCCTGTTTAAGAGAGAAGAGAGACCTGAGCTCTGATCCTGCAAACACTAACACATATGCCTGGCAAAACATGAATGGTTAATAATGCTCAAGCATATGTTGTTTGCTGCTTGTAAATCTGTCCCCATGACAGGATTTCACAGGAGCTGAGCAATCCTAACAGAATTACCACTTTATCACAATTTCTCAATCATAAACGTCTTCCAAAAGATGATTGTTATCAGTGCCAATAACAATACCAGTAACCAAAATGCTGAGTGGAAGGAATAGTATGCTCAGTAAAAAGCATTAAGTTTAAGCTATAGAAAACAGAGAGGCTATATTTATAAATTTCTAAGAATGTATTCTTTTAAAAGTGGTTCTCTTTTTCAGGAGGACTGGATTTAATTCAGCAGCAGCAGGAGTGTTTTGCATGCCTGAGCCCAAAGTCAGGGCAACTCTTCTCAGCAGTTTAAGCAGGCTTTTCTCAGACCCTCTGCAGAGCCAGGGTGCCTTCCAAAGCAAGGAATTATGTGGACTCCAAACCAGAAAACATCTCGGACTAGAGCAGATAATGAAGTCAAGGGTTTCTTAAACCTCAGCCTGGGAAGGCTGGGGCAGGGGAAGGGGGACAGTAAACAGCCACTAATTTAAGGTTGACTATAGGTGTAACTTGACAGAGGTATTTCCTAGCAGAGACCTGTTCAGTGTGTGTTTTATTTACAGGTACAAGTGTCCACAGAACAGCTATAACAAAGCTTCTCTCTCCTTTACCCTTCCTTCCCTGTGTATCAAGCTTTGAAACAGGAATTTAATTAAGCACAGGGACTTCTCACATTTATCAAAGGTTGGCTTTCACTAAATTTCAAGATCCAGACACAACTGCAAAAAGGGACTACCCGCAGAACCCATGGGGAAACCTGTGCTGCAAACGCCAAAGGCAGTTACAGGGACATATTTGCCCAGCTGCCCCTGCACCCAGCATGCCTGACAGCAGCTCTCCTTGGAGATGCCCCTCTGGGCTGCACCTACACAAAGGTAGGTGAGCCTGATCCTAGTCCCAGACACTGGTTCACATTCCCAGGCCACACCTGCTCTCCAGGTTGGTCCTCAACTCTGTCAGACTTAAGGACATCTTTTCCTTAGAGATACAGCTGTCTACATATAGGACGTTTTCTGAAGTTTTTACTACGGTTAAAATAAATATAACTGGCTCAAACTGCTTTAGTTATTGTACTGGATTATTGTTATTATTAGTATTGGTTCAGACTAAAATAACTACTGCCATAGTTGAATTCAAACCAAACCAAAATAAAATTGCTTCATCTCCCTGACTAGAATTACATATGAAAATGTACCAAACTGTCCCTAGCCACAGATACTCAGTCAGCAAAAGCATCTCTCAAAAAGGAGAAGGGAAAAAAACCAAACAACTCCAAGCCCAAAACTTACTTTGCAGCAAGAAGCATATTCTTCCTGTTTGCCATTTCGTTGCGGCCCATGTGTGGTCTTGTTAAATACTCAGCCACTGCTTTGGAGGGAAATTCTGTCTCACATACATAACCAAAGTCACGAGCAAGATGTACAGCTTCACCTGGCATGGGTAAAAGGGAATGTTCATTAAATGTAGTAACATCTATTCATTATCAAGAGATCAGGGAAATAAAAGTGCTGTGAATTTTTGAAGTTTATTCCACTGCTGTATTACCACTGCATCACTCATTGCCATTTTCTAATTAAATAGATTAGTGTTCCTTTCTAAACTTGCAACAAGAGAGACCCTACATGGTGACTGCCAAAAAAAAAAATAATAAAATTATCTTGCCTTTATACTAGAAAAACTCCCATCTCTATCCAGATTAACTGGAGCAAAGACTAGAATTAGGTCTAGCTCAAGTTCCCCACAGATATTTAAAAAACCTGGCAACTAAGTTCTACTTATACAATAAAGGGCATCTCAGTTTAGTATATTCTCTAAATACTTTCTAATAAGCATTTTCATACAGAAAATAAAGTGTACAACTAGGCCACTTTTTAAAATTAAGGCAATTTAATCAGGCTTTTAAAAATGGATTGGCATGATCAGCGCATTACCTGTCATGTACAGGTGGTGCATGTGCACACACCATCTCTCTGAAACCCAACTTCTAAAAGAGGTTTTAAATTGAAGTTGCTGTATTATTTGAGCTGATGTAGAAGTGAAATAGCAATAAAGTATTGTTACATCACTTTTCACTTCTCAATCACTGCTTCCATTCCTATTAAATTATACTACCAGGAGCTGCTTTAAATAGAACCACGAAACATAACCCCACACATACATACAATACATATATATCACACACACACCTTTTAAGTCAGCTTAACTGACAGAGGGTCCACACAACATGTTACAGATTAAAGGGGCTCCAGTTTCCTATCAGGAAGTCAAAAGCTATAAATCTCACTTTATATGCTTGTTTATTAGAAAAGCTTCTGAGGATACCGCTGAGGTAGGGCCAGTCATTGGAGTCTGCTGCCCCAGACTTTAACCCAAACCCAATATAATGTGGCAAGTTTCGCCCCTTTTGCCTTCTCTGCCTGTCCCTGCACCCTTACAGAACTGAAAGAACCCGGCCCACTCAAGAGACACAGAGAGGACAAACACACATTTTGAACATCTTGGCACGTTACTGCATCCCTGCCGTGCAGCCGTGTGAGGAAGAAGAGCTATTAGCAGGGTCTGTGCCAGCAGAGCTTTGAGACCAATGGCTCAATGGAGATTTGAAGGGAGAAGGAGGGGAGAGGAGGCCCCCCCAAAGGCAACACAGCATTTAGTTGCTGAGATGTTCCCCTCATGTTCACTTTACAAGGAACAAAACCTCTCTATTACAGTCATTGACTTTCTAGCCTTTCCATGCTCTGCCTAGAGGACAAGAGCTGTGCACGAGGGGGGATGAAAAAAGTTCATTTTGAAGACATGTTCAAGACTGACCTTCCACCAAAGATGTCAACAGTGTCACATTTGCAGCTTTCCTTCTACCAGCAGGAAGATTCAAGCCAATTTTATCCAGTTTTTCCCTTAATGATCTGCCACCATTTTTAGATTTGGCCCTGTAATAAAGTGGGGGGGGAGGGGGGGGGAGAAAAAAAGAAATAAAAAAGGCTTATTTATCTTTAGGGAACACTTATTTTTAAAGATGAAAAATTCCAGTTACTGACATTCAATAGAGTTCTACGAGGGGGGAGGAGGGGGACGGGTGGAAGATAAAAAACAGGCCCTTTTTAAGTGACCTACTTTTTAAATGCTCTACTACAAACCAGCCAGGATGAAATACAGCAGAGGTCAAAATCATGGTTTAAACTGCACTGTTGAAACAAACAGCTGTAGAACAATCAAACATCAAATTTAAGTGTATGCAAAACAGGACGTATAGTGTCCTTGTAATGATTAACCAAGATTTAATAAAAAATCGTTCCATGGCCAGGCAGTTTGTCACAGGAGTAAGAAAGCTCCATGAACCATACTTGAGACAAAAATCCAGCCTTAAACAGAGAACGAGAATTGCTGTCAGAGCTGTTAATAGCACTTCTCCAGAAGTAGCAGAAGTGCAAAGAAGTTTTATTTCCAAAGCCTATTAGGATTCAGTGTTGTTGGGCTTCTTAAAAACCAGGAATTTGCTAAAAGGCTTCCTTAGCTCCTCATTATGCAAACCTGGCTGCTCACACACACACACACACAGGCACGGGGTGAGATGAAGAAAAGAAATCTCACAAAAACCAGACCGGGGGGATGGTGGCTCAGGGAGTTACAACCTACCTTCTGAGAACCCCTCCCAGCAAAGAGGCATTGAGACACTCGGGGGGCGAGAGCCGCCTCTGCACCTCTGCCACTGTCACTTTGTATTTCGATGTGGAGCTGAGGAGGGAAAGTCTCCCCGGAACCGAACAGAACACTTCGTTGGGGTTTATGACCACTCCGAGTAATCCATCTTTTTGGCAGGGGAGACTCAGAGCGCTATTTTTCGTTAAGGAAATGGGACCTGTGGGAGGAGGGAAAGCAGGTATTTAACGAAAGGGGAAAATAAATAGGAAGTGGCAAGTGAATTCTCTTTCTACTAAAAAACACCTGGAGACAGGATTTCGTTTTGGATCAACTGCTCGCACTGCTCAGCCCCGTCCCCGGCATCTACCTGCAGCACAGGGCTTGGCTGCAACCTTTGGGTCCCCGCAGCTAGTCCTGAATAGCTAATTTTACCACACTACATTACAAGGAGGTGCCAAACACGACGAAAAATACTTTAAAAAACACACATAAAGACCATCTCTGAATCAGCAAGCTCGTAAATCCATGGTTACAAAAAGTCCGAAACAACTACTGACTCCAAATGAGCATCCTTCAGCTACTGCCAAATATCCGAGCCGGGACAGGGAAAAGCCTCTCGGATCCTGCCAGGGATCATCTCCCACCTCGCACACGCGGATTTAAGACAGCGCCTTTGGAACTTAACCTCAGCAAACTCAGAGCAGACAGTGCCACAGCGAGAGGGACGCACCGCAGGAGAAAACTGAAAGTAAAACTGCTCGGCAACGGCTTCAACCTTTAGGTGAGATGGGACAACAAAGGCTTTGCAAGGAGCAAAACCGCAGAGCCAGCTTCTCCATTCCCTGCCAACCCACCCACCCAGCACCGATGGGAAAGGGTTAACGAGCCGCTGTCGGCCTCGCTCCCCGGAGGGGAAAAGATTTTTCACTGGTGCATCTGACAGCGAAATTATTCTCCCATGAGCCCAGCGCAGCAATCAGCGCTCTGACAAACACTTCTGCTTTCCCTCACTTAGGTATTTGTTTGAAGTCTTCAGAGGAAACTTCCCCTCATCTTATTTTTTTCTTTCCTTTTAAACACAAATTTGTTTAAAAACAAAAGCAGGGGAAAAAAAACCAACCCTAAATTACTGTAAATTGAGTCAATACGTCTTTCTGCCTCCTTAAAACCTCAGCTACAAAACTAGTTCAATTAAGATAAAGCCGAACAGGCTCCTGCCAGTGAACTCACTGCCTTAAAGTCTTGTGAAGAAGTTGAAGGGGGTTTGGGGGGGGAACAAAAAACAACACAACAAAAAAACAACCACAAAAAACCCCACCCGAAGTGCTAGGAACGACAAAAGCCCCGTGTCACTTCATGCACACGTATCCCGGGGCTGCATTTAATTCAGTCCGAGGTTCTGGTTCCGATTACAGCCACACACGCACGAGCCGGGCAGGGATGTCCCCCCGAGGGGTCCCACCAACCACCCGGGCTCGCTGCAGCCCCAGGGGTCTGTCCCCGCTGCCACCTCCTTTCGGATGGCGTTGGAAAAACCCAGCGAGGGAGACAGCACAATAAAAACCTCTCCGCCCGCCCGGTCCGAAAGCATCAACCCACCGGTGCGTCACTTAACTTTATTGACCAGGGAAAGTCACGTGCAGTGCCATCTTACTGACCTTTTCTAATGACTGTCTGGTCATGCATTAATAAGTGTTGATCTTCCACGTTCTGGAAAGAGAAAGAAAGGGGAGAAAGTTTCGCACCTTGAAATGCCGAGAGAGAAGGAGGTTTGGGGAAAGCCACCCCCGCCCTACGCCTCCCCGTTTTAAGGGCAGAAAGAGAGAAAAAGCGGGTTTCGCTCCAAGGACGGGCCGTGGGGTCAAGTAAAGCTGGAATGCGCGGCAGGGGTGGGTGCCTGGCTCCGCAGCGGAGCCTCGGGCATCTCTGCCAGCCGGGGGCGGCTGTGCCCC